TCTGGATCTCTGACAGACGGACTTCAGTCTCTGAACTCGTAAAGTTCTTCTTTTTAATTTTCGCTGTCATTTTCCTGAATAGACACTTCCTGATATCTGAGGCAGGAAACATAGCCTTATATGGTGTTTTTGGGGTGGTAATTATGCTAATCTCCTCTGATCCAGCTCCTCGTGCACGAACAGCTGGATACGAACAGGTGGAATTTACGCAGCTCATTTATTGAATCTGACGTGACATGTTCRTACGAACCCTACGTACGAACAAAAGTAAGAGAAATTTAGGATAAGAATACGAACATGTTCTTGCATGAGGCCCAATGTTCTTAAAATAGGGTTGATTCAAAGTGTGACACAGTGAATCTCTTAGTAGATCTTTTGGTCGATACAGATTTTTTAAATAACTGATACTGTCAGGYGTCATAAGGTCAYAATACACYTTCAATGTTCCAGTCTTATTTTACTGATTATCACTGATCAACACCCTTGAATCTGTGCTAGTATGGGATGTAGTCACATAGCTGAAGCAATTGGTATGCATATGGGTGGACCAGTATCACAATTTGACAGTGTGTTGTGATGATTAAAGACTATCTGTGCTACAAGTCAGCTGTGGGATTTAAAATATAATATTTTAAGAGATACTCCACATTTCCTGAGCTTCTGCCATGTTAGCCCACCCACATAGCAGACRGGTGTGGGCCAGACTTGGTGTCAAGCTGGCTGACTGCTGGCATGGGCATTGGTTTGTCAACCGGATGTGGGCCATGTCTGGCAACGATGACACTGTTTTTTTTAAGATGGCAACCCACAAGTGGCCCAGTTGTGGTTTGGTTTATGTGGTGCTGGCCCATGCATGGACCACCTCTGGCAAACCACATTTGAGGCACCAAAGGGTTGTCATTCTTTGCAGTACCTGGGGTTGAGTGCTAGTGCCTCATGTGGGTCGGAAATGGTCCTGACAAATGTTGCTATGAGGATTATTTGTGTAAAATCACATCGTTGCAGCTAAATAGAAGAAATTTTTGGAGTTTTTTTCAGTCCTGAATATTTGGTCTGAATGCCAGGAGGAGTCARTTCTTTGTCCCTGATACCTTCATTGCCTCCTTGTCAAAATCCAAAACAAGTTTATTTTATTTGTAGTAATTCTTTCATCTCTGTGATGACCACAAGACCTTGATCTTTATTTTTTATCTACTTTCATAATATCTCTTTTTCAGTTTCTCCAAAATATAATGATTTCACTCCTGATAATACTTGGACTTAGGAAGGCTCAGTCAGGCATTTTTGCTAGTTAATAATGCTAATTTGGTTTGGTGAAGTGCCATAATAGTTCCAAAAGGGTGATAAAATATTCAAAAACAGAGCAAACAGTTCAAACCAGTTCAAAGAAATCTTTCAAAGATAGGTGTTTAAAAATAAATAGAAAACCCTAAAACAACATTAGATAACACTGCAGTAACAATAAAAGGCGTCCACAGGTACAACACCATTCCTGACTGTAAATGCTCTGTAATGTTACATAAACTCAACCACCTTCCTGAAGCAAAACTTCCTCCTTCTTCAAGATGCATTTAAGAACATTTGTGATTCTTTTGTCATTTCCAGTTAACCAGTCATGAAAAAACTGCTCAGGTGATTCAGAGAGCTTTGGAGAAGCATCACCTGGAACACATGAACAGGCAGGACTTCACCCTGACGCAGGTCATCTCACAGGAAAGAGGTTAGAACTGAGGAAATCTGTCAAAATAAAAGCTTTAAATGGTGGCAAACTTAACAGAACACATTTGTAACAAATCACCTTTTATAAACTGTACTTTTGTTTTTCAGAGTTGCACATACCAGATAAGGCAAACGTCTTTTATGCCATGTCCACAACTGCAAACTTTGACTTTGTACTGCGTCAGTACCACAAATGCCAGAAGAAACCCCTGAGAACAACTATGAGTCTTGGACGGTTGAGAAAGTGAGCATTTCAAGTCTGCAAACGGAACTGAGCCTATTGGACTCTCAAAGAAAAATTGATTTTGAATTTCTACGAAATGTCTCTGCAATGATTTTGTGGATACTGGCAGAAATTCAAACAGCCGTTTAACAAATGTAGCAAAAGCACTTTATGAAGCTAATATCAACTGGGAGGAAAAGGACTTGAAAACCATCCAGATGTGTTTTATGTTGAAAAGAACTTCAGTCAAACCAGGTGATGAAGTGTGTCGGTAAACTCAGATTTATTAGCAACCAGGAAAAAACGCAGAGCCTCCTCTGACCTGCGCATGCACAACATACTTGACATTTTTCCTGAGACAAACGTGAAGAAGCTCTCGTCCAGCTCTCTAAAGCAGCGGCGAGTCACGAGCTGTGTGCTTTTAGAAAAGCACTGGTGTGCGGAGGTTGGTTCTCTTCAGTGGGCTCTGAGCCACATCGGGTGACACGTAGCTCCACCTGAGTCTTCAGGGAGGCGGCGGTGGAGGAGGAGKGGTTATTGCCTGGGAACTTCTAGAGTGACTCCTTCAGCTAGGCCGTGTTAGTCACCATCTGCAGCGCAGAGCTCCAACTGGATGGACGACATTCCTGAAAGCAGTTGGACGACTCAGACTCAGAATCCCCTCATGTGCCCACGTCGCTGCTTTTACGTTAAACCGACATGAAGAAGAGACAATTATTTGTTTCTGTGAGACTACTTGTTTTTGTWTTTATTTTAATTTGTATTTATTTTGAAATGTGCTTGTTTTCTGTTTGTAATCTGACCTTTAATGTAACAGGTGAAATATTTGAGAACCAGTTCTCATTTAGAAACATGACCACTGTGATTCACTTTAACTGCACCTTAGATGACTCTTTACTAGACTGTCTCCTGACTAGAAGGAAAACTTTTATTTTAAGTACTGCACGACTCATTGTTTTGAAATGCCTCTCATTGTTATTGTTTTAGCAACGTGCCAGATTTTAATGGCAATTTTAATGGAAGTGTTGACCCTGTATGTTTTTTATTGGAATCATTCACGGCAAAAGTTGGCTCTTACTTCTGAACTTCATTGAAACCCTAATGCGGAAGGTTATGAGGATAAAACACAKGAAAATTTCTCTCAGTGACATCAACTAACAAAGATAAATGAGGATATGATTTTCCAAAGCTTCAGGCAGAAGTTGTACAACAGAACTTGTATTCACAGATTTTATTACCCTGAACAGGCCTAACCCTGATATTCTCCTCTCTTTCTTGAAAACCCACTTGTTTGTTTGCAACATGTTGTCTTTGTCAGAGCTTTCTTCTTGTCTGTGAACTGTGCTCTCTGTCCACCTATTGGTTTCAGTTCTTGACCCTCTTGCAGCCTTTGGGTCAAAATGACCCACAASATAAACKGAGGCCTTGTGGGACATCTGAATAAACGCATGAATTCATTTTAATGAACAGTTTTAATCCAAAATTTGATATTCATCAGCAAAACATTGTTTTTTTAAGAAACCCTAATAAACATATTTGTTACACCAAATGATTATATTTTAGTCCTCATTGGTAATATGATGCTGCTTTTTTCCTCAACATTATATTATTTGAAATCATCAGTAATTACTAAAACCAACAGAAGAGCTCACATTACTCCTGCRCATTTGAGGGCTAATATAATAATGTTGGTTTTAAAGTATACAAGTAAAGTATACATACAGAAGGTATGTTATGATATCTTCGATTATTCTGCCTTTTCACTTAGATTTACACTGCCTACTTGTGTTCTTTCTTCTATTTGCATCTTTTCTTAAATCACATAAAGCACTTTGTGTTGCCCTGCTGCTGAAAAGTGCTATATAAATAAAATGTACTTTACCTTACCTTACCTTTAACCTATAGAGCACTTCATGCTCAGGCCCCCCAATAAATATTGGACCTTTTTGAAGCCCCACTCTCCATCCAGGACTCTTGAGATCTTTAAATCAAATGCTGCTGGTGGTGCCTGGAACCTGGAACATTTCAGGCGGCAGTGGCTTGAATGTTCCTGTATATAAAGTTTACTTACTTATTTATTATATTTTTTAGCCTAACAAAAATGTTCCTTTAAATAAAATATGAAATGTGCTGTATTTAAATATAGTAGGTTTTTGAAATTTTTTTGGATAAAAATTATATAAAAAATTAAAAAAGACACTACAGGATTAAGATTTGAGATTTTGAAAATTTAGAAATTATATACAGACAGTAGGCAGTMTGCATTTTTTTCTCTATGTAAAATGTGAATCCTGTACAGTACAACAACAACAAAAAAATCCTCTAAATCCAATCAATTCTCCGGAGTGATCTTTCTTCCCGCCCCTTTGAGCTSTTGATCCACACTTCAGATAAGCCCGCAAGCAGACTTTGGTGAAGTGTATTACCCATAATTCAGCACTGCATGTGATGTTTTGAATTAAAAAGCAGAAAAATGGCAATGTCCAATGAGCATCTTCCAGTCTAGGGGTGGTGGGAATGCACTTAAATTAGTCTGCTAACCGCCAATAAAATCAAAGAAGAAGAACTTATAGAAGAAAAACACCAATACTCTGGTGTATAAGACTCCTTCGGTTCATGTGCTTTCTTCTCCTAAAAATGATTACTTGTTTTTGTACTATTGTAACATTTTTAGCAGTTCAAATGCCAAAACAGCGACCTGTCCTGCCTTTGGATGTCACAGTTATGACATGGTTGCAAGTTCCAATTCTTCAATTTTTGCACACTTGTGTGAGGATACAAATATTGACTGGTTTTCAAACAAATTGTTACCTAAAGAAAATACTCAGCGATACAGTTATCATATGTAATCTCTCTCAGGTAGAACAAGTTTTAAATGAGCAAGTGGTTTAACCACTTCATGTATCGATAGCTGTCCTAAAAAATGTTCCAATATTATTTTGGCAGCTGTGGGCTTCAGTGATCACACTACCATTGCTTTGGCTGTTAGAAYAAAAGTTCCCAGGGCTGGGCCTAAAATCATTCATAAAAGAGAATTAAATTTTTTTCAGAACAAGATTTTATAAAAGATGTGCCAAAGATACAATGGGAAGATGTTTTAAAGATCAAAAAGGTAGAAATGGCTCTGGATAAATTTTGTAAATGGTTTTTGGAAGTATGTGGTAAACATGCTCCATTGAGAAGAATATCTGTGAGATCGACAAAAGCTCCTTCAATGGATAATGATATATGTTGTATGAACAAGACAGAGAAAATGATAAACTCTGGCAATCCTGAAGTTTGGCAAGCCTATCGCACAATTAGAAATAAATTAACACAAGTAAACAGACAATAAA